TCGCAACGTAAATTTATAATAAAAGTGAAAGAATTAATAAATTATTGACAATTATTTGAATTCATAACGCATTTATATTAAAATGTACATATAATTTGCAAAAAGTTTATAAATTATTGCACCGATTGTTTATAACAAATTAATATTGTTAGTAACAAATTGTTCGCAACGTAAATTTATAATAGGAATAAAAAATTATTTAATTATTAGCTATGAGAGCGGAAAATTAATAATTAATAAAATCGGTAAAGTTCGAAAGTTTTCGATTGGGGTGGGGGACTTGGCCGATCGGCAGCTATATAAGAGGCGACGCGAGGCGGCATAACTCATTTGTCGGTTCGACTTCGGAAGTGTAACATCTAAGTTTTCGTTGTGCGCGAGGGGTGGGGGTTCAAAGTGAGGTTAGGGCTAGCCACCCTACCCTCACCTCACCCTATTAAATAATTTACTAATAATTTTTCTTTTGTTTTCAGATATTAATTATTTTTTTCTTTCAGGCTTTAATTATTTTTTCTTTTTCAGGTTTTAATTATTTTTTCACTTTCCAGATTTTATTTTTTGATTCTATTTATTTTTATTCGAATATTTTGTGTAATATTCGAATGTTTCATCGTTGGTTTATTTATGTCTCATCGTTGGCTAGATCAGTGGCTAGCCGATAGCCACTGTCCACTCCATCCACACTTCATCTTCTTATTTAATTTAATAATTTTTTTTCAGGTTTTAATTACTTTTGTCGTTTCAGATTTTATATTTTCGACTCTATTTATTTTTATTGGTGCATTCGAATATTTCGTATAATATTCGAATGTTTCGTCGTTGGGTTGTTTATGTCTCATCGTTGGGATGTTTATATCTCATCGTTGAGTTCTTCATGTCTAATCATTAGGTTTTTCATTTCTCATCGTTGGATTGTTTATTCCATTTGGTTGACCATCGTGGTTTATATTTGTTTCGCTTTTATTATGTTTTAATAATTTAATACTAATCTGTTCCTTTTCAGCATTTTAGGTTTTCCAAGACATCGTTGGACGACGCGGGATGTGTGCGATTAGACCTAAGTAGACTTAAGTATCTATAAGATAGATTTTAAGTTTTTCAAGATGCGTGCGTTTAGACCTAAGTAGTTATAAGGAGGATAAGATAGATCTATAGACTAAGTTTCATGTGCGCGATCCGTTCAAAGGTAAGCCATCTAACTTGAAGCGAAATATATCAATTCTCTTACCCTCTCGTTTATCAAATAGAACATAATTGTTCTCGCGATAATCGCGATTGTTCTTAAGTACCGACTAGCCTACGCGAGGTAATTCCCGTGTACTCGACAACTCCGCGCCTCGTAAGTCATTCTCACGACTCATCTCCGACATCCATTTCTGCCACTGTCAATCTCGTCATGCATCGGGATCTCTGGTGGCCCTCAGGCTGGTGAGGCATCTGGAGCAATACGGGGGTCCGTCGACCTTAGTCGTCCTGGGTGCCAATCCGTGCACACGACCGGGGGATGGGTCCTGCAGTCGGAATCATTGCAAGAGCGTGCCTGCCTGCCCCACTAGCACTTGGCGGCTATGTGGTTATGTTTGCATAGAGCCGGGGTATAGAGCATGCGCGTGATTCCGACTGTTAGGCCTCGCATAGGACCCTCGGATTGACTCTGGGTGTTCCACTGGTTCGTTGGCTGCCTTAGGTCATCGGGTAAGCCATGGCGAGGTCGGCGGTGGCAGGGTGGGCAAGGCCCGATCGGGAGGGTGCTGAGGCGTGAAGTTGCTTGTACACGGGAGTGTGTCGCGTAGGCTAGTCGGTCTTTCGAATAATCACGAACCCTTTTGTAAGACACGATATTTAGTAAAGTGTCAGTAGATTCACTTTAACTTCTTTCGCTCCAAGTTAGATTAGCGTACCTTTGACACGGATAGCGCCAGTAGGATGCGCCACTAGAGCGCATGTCGGGTCTCGATGCGTAACCACCTCCACGTGGTGAGACCTGGTAATTAGTATCGTTTCCCAAAGAATAATTCTTTGGGAAACGATACCAAGCTAAGAGCTACGACTCGGGTTTAAGATATTTCCTATGAATGATAAATTTTCATAGTTCCTTTTGAACTTTGAAAATTAAGAACGAGCAGTATCTATTTTAGTAATGTGTAAATTAAGATAAATTAATCTACGCTAAATATAAATATTTATTTTTAAGTTGCAGAAATGCAAGCACCTAATGGACATTACAGATTACAGAGAATCTTAAAATTTGTTGCACACTGTTATCGAACAGGCAGTTCAAAGCAGGCTCTCGGAGGGAACGAGTTCATTAACAGACTGATAATTCAGGAATTGCAGTAAAATCGACCAGCTTCGTGACTTTATCTTCTAGGACCGACTTATCGTCGGTCACGAGGGCTGTCAGAGATAAGAAACTCGGCATCCGTAACAAGAAGCCGGCAGATTCGCTGGCGTTGACCGTGGCGCTCGTAAATCGCAAGTCATGTCCTGCAATAAATACCTAGCGATGGTTAGAGAAGAGGTGGGGGCAATATCCGTTGAAACCTACGTCAGGATGAAACCTGGCAATGACGTTGAACGCGAGAAATTAAGTTTAATATCGACAGTTTGTGTCGTTATTGAGACCGCGAGAAGTCGGAAATTAAGCACTGAAGCTATTAGCTAATCAAGGAAAACTCTATCCTAGGTCTCGAAAATAAATATCGTATTTCTTTCCTTAAAATTCTAAAGAACGATTAATTTCTAAATTTTTGTACAGAGAAATAAGTGATATAATAGAATCGCTCAAGTTGATTCAAAGAAATCCTCTGATAAGAATTAATTTTATAATCGTTTGATCATAGACAAGTCTAAACTTTATTTGAGCGTTTACATCTAATGCTCCCAATCATATGATAACGTTAATAAAAATTTACTAATTACTACAACAAATACTGTGAAATATTATACCAAGTTGAATTAGTAGAAAATTCCTATGAGGAATATGAAAAATCAATTAGTATAAGAAATCAAATTAAATATAGTCACGAAACAAATTCAGAAATGTCAATAACAAATCACATTTGACTGCTTGAATTTATCAAGCTGCAATCCCTATTTGTTTCAAGAGCAATCGACTGCAACGGGATAAAGAAACGCAACACGATCTAATTATCTCCTCCAACCCGCCGCAAACACGTTATCGATGAGACTTTCCAAAGACTAGTGCTATAACCCACCCCCTCAGCCCATTTTGCTAACATTCGCGAACGATAAAGTTCCCACTGAGGCCCTAGCAGGGAAGAGTCGTTTGCCCGATGTTCACGGCATAACTCAGCCGGCGCGATTTTGTCTTATTGGCGTCTAACAAGGTTGCGCTCGTTGTCGAAGGGTAGCGAGGCACAAACTCGCGTAATTTGTGCCGGAGGAAGTTGTCGAGGCTGCGGTAATGCGAGTTCAACAGGATCCTAAGTTAATTTCAACCGTTCCAAGGAGGGAAGGGCCGAGGATGCGGTTTATGGCGGGAAGCTATGATTCGTTTGGTAGCTTGCCAGGGAAAACGACGTTATTGCACTGGAAAGGGGTGGCGGGTGGCGAACAGAGGACCCGCAAACAAAAGGGGGACGGAAGGAAAAGCGAAGCGGCTCTGCAGGCAATTAATATGACCTTAATCATCTTCGAGCATCTATCGTCCCATTTTGTGCTTTCACTGTTCTTCTTTCAGAAAGAAGCTTGTCGAATTTCCAGGAATGCTGTGAACTGGACAAAGGACTAATGAGATCTTTTTTCTTGGTCCATGGATACTTTGGAGAATTGAATTGTGGTTATTTTTAGTTACTCACTGAGGGATTGTGGAGGATGATGAGTTTAAGGTTTGGTGGATGAAAAATTTGTGGAACAGTATGTCTTCAATATAAATATTCAAGGTTAAGGCCATTTCAAAGCCACGACGTTATATATTCTATCTAGTTTAATAAACTATTTCCTAGTTAGAACGTCAAATGTTGATTATTCTGTCTGGGATACATTGGTTTTTCACTATTCTGTAGAAAAAAGATAAATAGAAATTGTTATTTAATAAAAACAAAATTAAAAATTTAGAAAAATGTAGGACCCAATAGTAGATGACAGGTAAGAATTCCTACCAGAGTTCAGATGCAATTAAAAAGTTAGGTTAGAGGATGTATTTCTATAAACGAAATGGCCAGGCCAGTTGTAGATTATTGTGATGACGAGCTTAAAAGGGTCATTATAATTTGCATCTTCTACCACGTGCCTTTTCTTGTCATTCTAAAATGAGACAATTATTTGTTATAAAAATAATAACGATTACCCTATTGCATTATAAATTTAAATTTCTTTCATCTCTTTGAGAGTAACGATGATATATTTACCATTTCTCATTTTAGACGGAAAACATTATTTTCCAAGATCAATTTAACACGTGAAACTTTCGTAGAAATGAAGCTTGACCTTCGAGGCCAACGACATTAACAATTTTTCCAACCTCACTCGTATCTTCGCCAAGAATTCGTTCGAAATCGATACGATGCCTCTAGAATACTTGGGTCGACTTACATCGAGAATGCTGCAGTTAACCGCGAAAACCGCGTCACCTTTAGCATTCCCCCCGAGTTATTACGAAGTACAAAAAAGCGATAACGACGTTCTCGATGAAAGATTCAGATATCTCCGTGAATATCCGATAGATCAAAATAAAACTCTCGTCAACGATATTTTCTCTAGTTTTCGTTCCATATGAGAGGATCTGCTTGTTTCTGGACGTCAGACATGTATATTTTGACATAACCTCGAACAAATGAATCGCTATTGCATAGAAAGACATTCCGTATACGCGGGAACACTTACATCTTGCGCGGACGTGCAGCTTAGAGGGTACATCGCTTACGAACGATGTTGCACGAACGGAGGCGGACTGAGCCGAAGGACTCACTCTCTCGCTCTCATTGTAAGATTAGGCGCAAGTTCGGGAAACTTCGGAAACGTTCGATTTCGTCGCGAAGCGCGAGACGACACTCCAGAAGTGTGCAAAACTGGTGAGAAGATTAACGTATTCCGTCTGACTACGCCTTTCACAATTTTTACTTTTATGTTTTCACAGTATATACGTTGACACGGTAGGTAAAATAAATTACACGTATCATTGCATTTCCCATCTTATGGTTTATTGATACTGGTTCTGTGTCTATGTTTTATATCACTTTTTATTCCTTCCTTTCTTATCTCACTCTAATTCAATGTATATCTTTCTCTCTCTTAGGCGTTCGATTCTATGATGCCAGTACATGTAACAGTTCCAGACAATAAGGAAAAATCGTGTAGCTTATCTACGAGGTTGTATCAAGCAAGGTAGACCTATTATACTATGACTAATCATACCCACATTCCTTTCCCTCATCAACTTTTCTTCTCTCTGTACAGCAAAGGCGGCCACGCATGAAATATGTCTCGCAATGAAGAGAGGGAGAAATTCTTAGAGAGAGTCTCGTTGCAATATCTCGCGCGCTGCGACTTCCCCCTTTGCATGGCAGCTGTTTTTCGGAGGATGAAGAAGCGGGTTGAATAAGCGAGAAAGTGAAGCACACTCGTTGTCTCACAAAATGAAATTTTAATGAGATTCTTGCTTAATAACCGCAGGGATGTTTTCATGGATATTGAAGTTTGAATGACTAAGGTTCCTGGTGGGGAATTCCTAGTGATGAATTTATTTACGAGATACATCTGTCTCCATGTTCCTTTAAGCTCTTTAACGTCATTTGATATATTGATAAATATAAAGCAGGCTGTTTCACTATATAATTAAATTGACAAATTATATTTTTATCGTAAATAGGAAGATTATATTTACCATAAACGAAGGTTTAGAGGTTAGGAACGTCCTTTCACGTAGTCGATGGTAACCAGAAGGTTAGAAACGAGGAAGCTGAGTGAAAATTCAAAAACGATTTTACATAGGTGGAGCCATGAGAGTACTTCGGTTTAGGAACTCGACGAATGTTTTCCGAATTTTCGACGGCAATCGCGCGTTGTCAAGCAATCGAGAATCGAGCCTCGCCAGAACGTCGATTAAAGTTCCCGGCGGCGGTCGTAAATGACATCTCGAAACTCGAAACTCTCGCGAAATCCCGCCGGATTCTCCGGCCGCGAACTTTTCACGCGGAACCCCAGTTTTTTCCCTCGACAGTGCCGTGAAATTGGCAAACTTTGCGCCCCGTATCAGATATAAATGTTCACGTTTTAACGAATATCGCCCTTCAGATTCAGTATTGAATCATCTATAACGGGGATTGAATTATGATTGCTGAACAATACTGAAATTATTTTCTTAGCTTTTCACGTTAATAGAGTTAGTATCATTTATACTATAATAAATACGTCCTGTATAAAATTTATACTATAGTAAATATATAAATAATAAAGTAATGTAAGTGAATGTAAGGAAAAAAGAAAGGCACTTTCGTGTATCGGTATACAAGTAGAATAGACTAGAGCTAAGGAATTTTACTTTATATCTATTGTATATAATTTTGCCATTGTGTCAATGAAAAACAACTTTCTCTGTCGTAAAACAATCCATCACGTTGTCGAACACATTTTCATTCACATTGTTCCAGAATTCCTTTCTTAGCTCAAACGTGCATTCTTGTGCAACTGCATGGCAGTGACTGCGTGGCAGGCTTAATTGGCGCTGCAAACGCATGAAAAGCTTCGCTGGGACAACAATGAAACGCAGGTTCTACGCGTTTCGACGACAATGACGACTCCCACATGGCCAATCCGTGACAAAAGGAACGAAACCGTATTTTCTTCTGGGACTAACAAGTCCTCACATTTCAGACCTGTATATCTGCAACGGGAAACTCTTTTACAGCATTTCTCTACTTGTTTTGAGATTGAAGGTCATTATGTGATGATTACGAAACACTTAGTATAGGTGGCTGTGGTCGTCCAACGTGTTTCACTCTTTATTAAGTATGCTGATCCAAAGTCGAGTGTTAGGTCCCTTGCTAAAGGAGGTTACAGTTTTACAATTACAGTCCCACTTTGTACTGTGACTGACCATAATCACCTAACCTAGAATAATTATTCTACACTGTAGGTGATTATGATCAAGTGAACTCTTTAGATTAAAAATATCTGTGGTCATCCGATGTCGTATATCCACTCTATGTTAAGGATGACTATGTATACCCTAAATCAAATACTCACTGTACACTAAATTATAGTCACTTGACCTCAACTTTAGAATATAGGTAATTATGGTTACCTTGTCATAGTTTCTATTAGGTATTAGGTACAAATCATAGTCATTCGACTTCAAGTCTTCACTTCACACTATAGCCAATTATGGTTACCTTGTCATAGCTTCTATTAGGTATCACTGACGAGTTATTGCAGATATAATTCCCGAATTTAAAAATTACATAAAGAGGGGCATAATTTGGAAAATGGTTCTACTGCTTGGTCACCATAATCTTCGAATTTGTCACCACTTGATTTTCTTCTCAGGGTAATCTGCAGTCAATAGTCAAAGTCGATTTTCTTTGCAACGAAGCTTCGAATGAAAAAATTTTGTTCTTCATTTTCGATATGCTTTTTCACGTAGAATCATCCCTTACCCGGTTGTACCACCGTTTCTGAGACACCCAGTATGTAAGTGCATAATCGAATTTTTTTGACAAATTTTAAATAATTCTCGTGCATCTTTGACGTTATCCTTTCTATCGAGTTAATTCTCACGGCCAGTTTGTCCATCGTGGAAAGTAAGTTGCTCGAAAAGGCGAGTCGACGAAGTGCTTTCCTCTTCTTTTCTTCCAAGCCTCTCGGCCAAGTTAATTACCAACGTTTGCCGCGACACCGCCGGAAATTAATAAATATCCGGCCGGAAATTCGGCGCTGAGCATCTGTTCCGTGAATCTCGGTTACACTTGCTAACTGGGCTCGACTCTGCCTGTCAGAAGTTCAACGATATCGACAAACCCAGAGGGTGGTAGTGCGTTTTATTGACTCAGGCCTTGCAACAAAGCTTCGCTTTATGGCCCTCTTATAAATCTGACAGATTTATCTTTGTTTCCGTTAATTATCGATAAAATCGTTTCGAGAATCGATATTTAATCAACAGGGCTATTTTAATCAACATCAACCTATCGAGACCAATCCCCATCTGTCCTAATTCAATTTCTCCAATTTTTTTTTAATAAAATTAAATTTCTTAAGCGAGAATATTTTCAGACAAAACGAATCGACGTGGAATGACTGGCTCGATTTTAATTTAAAAATTATTTTCGGAGATACTTATCAAGTTGGAATACACTGCATGTGGATTGATCGGTGACGTTACGTGTTCTGATTAATTTCCTACGCGTATGAACGTAATGTTTTTCGATAAAAAAAATTGCAAATTAACTTATCACGATGGTAAAATGATTAATGCGATCGTCCATCATCGCATTCGGTGGTATTCCATAACTATAATGAATTCTCTAATTACGAGACTGTAATAATAACACATCGATTATGATTAATCGTTACAGCGATAATCACGTTCGTTAACAAGTTGAAGATTTAGTTTAGCATTCCTGTGCAAGCAAATTTGATTAACATTAAAGTCGTTAAAAATACGCTTCGAGAAGTTCACTCGTAATGGCGGTAACGATTAATCGATATCCTTTAGTTAAATTTAATTAAATTTAGTCGATTATTTTCTTAAATTATTTAATATTAATATTACTATATTTAAGAGAATTCAAAAATATTTTAAAATATATCAGCTGAAAGTTTTGTTAATATTTTCCTTTTCTTAAAACACTGAGGAAGTGAAAAATTAGAATTGGTAGGTAAATGCAATATTTTTGGCCAATAGTGTACCTATTTATTTTCATCGCAGTATGTTCATTGTTATTATTCGTGTGTACTATACTTAGGTCCATATTACACATCATTAGTTCACTATAATCGCGTTATGCGATATTATTAACAAATCATGCGAGTTACATTGAAGTTGAGCGAATTAAACTCATGGCAACTTTGTTCACTTCGTCATAGTGATAATTAAAATTCCCATATCCGTGGGAAAATTGTGTCAGAAAAATCTCATTCGTCAATTAAGTGTTACTATTAAGTTAAAATCTTGTTTTCTTCTGAAATTTGATTTTGTTTTAATAGTCTCTGGCTGTGGGAAATGGAAAAATCATAATAAATTTTGGAAAATTATAACTTTTTAATAATCTACTATAAAAGAGATGGAAAATGTAGTAAATATAATCAACTTTCTCACCTTATTAAAAAAAAAGATTTATAATAATTTTCTTAATTTTTTTTTCTTAATTTTCTTCCCAATATCAGTTATTTTATTTATTACTTTTATTTTGTTGCATTTTGTCTTCAGTATTATTTATAAATTTTGTATTTATTTTAGTTGTTACATATTGTCACAGATTATGTAATGCGAAAATTAAGGACGATATGACAGATGCCAAATAGCAAGATCTTCATGGTGATCTCTAGGGTCAAAACATTTGATCTCGATTATAGTTCAGTGACAACTTAATATCAGTGATTAATTTTTACCGAGACAAAAGGTATATCAATCTTAATAACAGGCTAGCTGAAGTCTCTTTACATTGTTACCCTTTCATTTTCGCTTGGTACTTTATGCGCCACTTAAACTGATTGTATGAATGAAGATTCTCGCATGAAACTCGCTCTCCACATACCACTGTCGGAGACAAAAAAATTAATTCAGTCTTATTACAGGAAAGTAACATTACTTTCACTTACCAGGTGATGACGTATATAAAATGTCATCTAGTATAATATCATGAATATCGTCGAATAATTATTTCTTATAACCACACGTACAAGTTCTCCATAACACAGATCCATTTTTACGTACATTTATACATATTACGTCATAATTAGTCATGCTGTTGGGATATGCAGACATAATGGCGACATCTATAGTCACCACAGGCATTCGCGATGACGTCATAACGCACGAAGTGTCTTCTTGTTCCGGACTGCTAAGTATGGTTATGCCTACTAAACTGTATTGCTTTTGAATACAGGTAGATGCATTATTAACAAGATGGCTACCACGACAGGTTCCATGAATTTACTAAAAAATGTCAAATCACTTGAACTATTCTATTCTATATATTTTAATCACTATTCAATATTTCGAAACTTCTCACATTTGTGTACAATACATTATTATATACTAATATAAATTTGGTAGTTTTGACATCAATGCATGACACGTAATATGAACCTTTTACAGATAGTCAATAAATATTATTAGTATAATTTAACAATAAATACCTCACGTATATGTACTATCAGAATATTCCTAAAATGTGGCAAACATTTGACACTTCGACGCCAATGCGTTATAATGTATTCTACAAACGCCTAACCCATCTCTTTACGTCGTATATGGCACAGTGAAACTCGTTAGAACACGAGAAATCGGCCTCTCTTAAACACAAGATAACTTGCAATTGGTTTCCTCAGCCAGCGTGTAAATCGTTCGCGTCCACTAAAATTTCACCACACGCGAAATACGTCGAACATTCATCGAGAAATTTCCTCCATCCGTACACCAGAAACGCTTTTAATTACGAGAGTACGGTTAGGAAAAGGTGAAGCTCGAAAGCGGCTCCAATCCGAACGCAGCAGTGGCAGTCGAACCGAGATTAATCGATTAATCATTGAGCTATATGGGCGAACTTCTAATCCCTCGACGCGAGCGATACAACGCCCTCTATACGCTGCAGCGTGCTGCCTGATGATTTCGCTTTCGTTCGCGAGGGATCTCTGGCTTCTGCTTAACGAGGCAACGTGTACTGCGGGAGCGAGAGAGATAGAAGTAGGACTCGCGAACGGATTGGCTGCGGAGTGGGGAGAGATACGTCGCGTAAGAGAGAGGTTTACGCGACTGCACAGAGAGCAAGGGGACGACCGGAAGCGCTCGGTCAAGGTAAGACGTTGGCTCTGCGCGCGCAGCATGCACATTCGTATATACTCGACCGCGCTTTCCTTTGCTCACTCTAAAACGTTTTCTTACCGCTCTGAAGACATCGACGCGTTAATCATCGCGGTTCGCTTCGTTTTACGTTTTCCGCGATTTTGTCTCACTTCTCGTCGGGTTTGACGCCACGTGGAATTGGAGAGACGAGTTGGGTGCTATTGAGGCATGCAGAAACGCATTAATAGAGAGTTCTGAAGTTGCTTTCCGAAGTAGTTTTAATACGACGGTAATAATTTAACAGGTTTACTGTTATGGGCGGTGCAGCACGACATTCGTGCATCTCTACTTCTTTTTTAACGACGGAATTAATGTTTCGTAATGCGTGTACACTTTCTGCTCGTTATACTGGATAATGACGATTGATGATAGTAGAAAATTTAGTAAACGATGGAGGTTTTATTTTCTCCTGTTAAAAATAATTAATGATAGGAAAAAATTTAATAGGTGACACAAATTCAAGACTGTTTATCGTAAATTTGACTTACACTTATTGCGATAAATTTCTTATCTTTTTTCTCGAATTAATAGCGACGAAGGACAGAAAAATGTTTAATAAATAATATAGCTGCAACATTGACATCCAATTTCTAACACGTGTAACGTAAACTTGTTACAAGAACTGACAACAGGAAATAATTTAATGAATGATACGGATCTAAATAGAAACATATCATGTGTATGAACCCAATACAGTTGAACGTTAAGAAATAACCTCGTACTCGTGTTCAACAGCTGTTGCGTATACACATCGCGTAATAACAGCAATATTTATGTCTGTCATGATAGTGATAGTTAAGACTCTCTAGAGGGCAGGACGATCGCTTACGTACCGTTAGAGTCTCGGCAATTTTATACTAAATGTCTAAACTTACTACCATCGTGCAACGGGGATGTCGCGATGCATCGCTCGATGCGAACTGACCCACGACTTACGCAGTACGTGGAAACGCGCCATGCTGAAGCAGGAAATATGGCGTGTATCGAAATTTATTCGACAACCTTCTTATCGATTCTCGACAGGAAACAGCATTACTACTTGTTTATTTTTAATTAAATTGCACGTTGGAATATTACATTCTACGATTATGTCTATACATAAAGATATCAATGACTTTATGTAATTAATATTCCGCGTATAATTACACTAGATTTAAATGAAAAGTGTTATATTTATTTGGTCAAATTTTATTCTAACAGATGGAGTTCTACCATATTCGTTTATTTTCTGCCTTTAACTGTTACATTCCATTACCGCACACGTTCAACGGTGTTGTAATACAGCAACTGTTGGAGTTTGCTAGAATTCCAGGAGCCAATAAGGAAATTTCTAAGATGGCGACGTTTCTCATGCATGGTATAAACCATGCAGAATATAGATTGAAAGAAAGGACTACAAATGAGTTATCTTGTTCAATTCAGAGCACCTATTGTCTCACGTGGAGTCTTAATCGATTCTAAATTACCGTGGAGGTTAGGTTTGCTCTCATGGGAGAACACGTGCGTGGGACTGATCGTTTTTCTGCGTCCTCTCGCGTTATTACGTAAATTACTTCACGATTCCGTTCAACTTGACCATGTTCGCGACGTTTAAATCTTCCTCCATGGAAAATGTAATTTGTAACTCGCCTCACCAGTTCGTGTTTCCAACCTGCAAGACCATGTTGCGGCTATGTGCTTAAGAAATGTGCAATTAGCCTCTCAGCTTGTAACATCGAGTTATGCTCTTGGTGCAAATTGTGGCTCAAGTGTGGTCGACGCGAGCTTAATTTCAAACTCTGTTTTGCTTTAAGCAAAATCTCAATCATGGAGTGTCAAATGTAAGTTATGCATAGTACGTGTATATATCAACGCGTGGATTGGTTTAGATGACACTCTGAGTAATGTAGTTTCAAGACTGCAAAAAATATGACTGCGAGCAGTCACTTTGGCTCAAAAGTAAATTGCAACGCAGATGTACTTAGATAATTGATTTTTGACACGGTACAGCGGAGACTGGTTACTTCAGTGCAAATATTTCATTCTGCATTAAAATCTACAAAAAATATTTCACGAGTAATGTTTTAACTTCAACGCAAAATGCGAGGTGAGTGGAGCGAGCTTCTCGCACTTGCCACTAGAGGCGCGTTTACTAGTCTACGAAAGTTCTCATTCCATCATTCTTTTAATATAAATATTATTATATTGTTATATAGATATGGACCGTGGTGGTGCTAGTGAGTTAAACGGAAAATTGTATTACGGCTGTTTTAAAGCGCCTATTCGTAAAAAAGTCGCTGAAAATGTGCAGTTGTTTTCAACGAAGTTACGTGTTAATTCCTTCAATTTCATGAATATTCTTGGAACACCCTATAGATTACGCAGTACTAAAACACAAAAAACTGTGAAATAAAAGGATAAAATATACAGGAAATGGAAGAAATTGTTTCATAAATATAATTAATCGAACAAACTTATATTAGAGTAATAATTACCAGTAAATATCGAATCTCAAACGTAACAAAAGATAAGTATAGCCAAATTTTAAACCGATAATCCCCGTATCCATAGTATATATTTTCAGACATAGTATACTCGTGTTTAAACTATCACTTTATTTTTCCAGATTCTTGCACCTCCGAGGACAGCTCATCGTTCTCAGTCCAAAAAGCATCTACGAAAACACGAAGTATCCAATACGTCTCAGCATCCATTCTTCCCGAAGTCCCAGCATTCCCCCGGCGTCCTACGCATCCTTCCTATACTCACTTCGAGCTCTCTCTACGAGATCCATTCATGGATCGATGAGCACGATGTTCAGTTTGTGCTTCCGCTTCCGGTGGCGCCTATGGATTTCGATGATCTCCTCTGGATGCCTCCTTCGTTCATGGCTGATGACGTAAATTATGCTTCGTGGGTCAGGTGCAGACACGGCAGTCCCATGCTCGACAGTCCACAGACAAAGGATCACGAGCGTGATCAAGCTCATCCAAAACGTGCCACGACCCATATCACCCGACGATATTGCTACGCAGTGAACCACCGAGGCTTTTATAAGCTGCAGCCTTATCAAAATTCGTGACCAACGTGACGAGCATCGCCGTAAACTTTGTCGCGTCGTAAATTCGGTAAGTACCCACCCAATGACGAATTTTAGCGAAATTACGGCTCCTATCGGGTCACTAGGAAAATGTTTTGAAAATTCAGCACATGATTTTGGCGAAACTGGGATTCACAGGAGTTGGAGTATCGATGATGTCAACGATGGAATTGAATTACAATGGATGGAGAATCATTTGATCTGAGGATTGACAACACTGCCCAATAAAAGAGGATGTTAAAAAAAAAGCCATTTTTGAAAATTATCCTGGAAATGAAAAGTGTGTTCGGATAGTAATAAAGGAATTTTTTGTTCCTTGAAGGACGCCCTTAAAGGTTCCAAAGGAATTTTTCATTTCCAAGCGATGCCAAAAATGGTCCCTTTTTAACATTCTCCTTTTAACATTTTCTGTAATCTGTAATATCTAATAGGTGAGTCTCGTAGAGCTTACTTTCCCAAATACGAATCCGTAATGGACATTGCTGTATTAGCCAGTTTTCGAAAAATGTGAGTAAAATTATGTAAAATTATAATGGAAAAAATAATAGTCTAAGTAGCACGTATAAAGCAACTATATATATCTCCTATATCATTTACAAGTCTGGCTAAAGTACTACAGCAAACAGCCATAACGGAACCAATCACACCGTAAATATAATGATCATCGGATACTTTGATTAAACAGATACTTTGATTAGCAAACAAATTTCATCGCTCTCCGGGATAGAAATTGGCACCGGCTGCACGGATGCGATCAATTATCATTATCGGGCGGGTTCCGGAAGCGTCAGATTCGTTTGCAGCCAATACATCGCATCAATAATAGGCCAGCAATTGCATCCCCTTTCGCCACACAGCGCCTGACATTTCGATCGCATCCTCGTTTCCGATGCCCGTTTGCTCGTCCATTTCGTGCTCGATCGATTAAAGTAGAGTGGATTATGCAGCGGTTACGTTTCGGCTGTCCAAGGTCGTTGGAGATTGTAACGGTACCTCGTCGCACGAACGAAGTCGGAAACAGCCGATGACCAATCACGATTAACGCCGATGATCGCCGATGATCGCCGAAAACTGCCGAACGGTAAGTGGCTGGTTGCCGTAAGGGAGAGAGGCGACAGTTGAAATCTTTTCTTTCGCCAAAAGCATGTCGAAAAGAAAGGTAATTAATGAATCAAATTTAAACCAAACAATCGGTCGTTCTTACTTGTTACGTATATCCTTAAACGAAATTATATTATTTCCTAGTACGCAATTATTAAATCTAAAAAAGGTAGTGATATTATTGTCTTATGTGTAGCATTGCAAATATAGAAATATAGCATAGCGTAGGTAGTGGTGAAATATAGCTAAGATAATGTCGTTAAAGGTTATCTTAATAGGAAAATGAATATAAACTAGGAATATAAATATTCTTTCGCATGGAAAAAAAATGAAATTGTTTTCGTATTTAGAGTTACTGGTGGAAACTAAACTGTACGCTATTAAATATTTAGAATTATTCCGTAACGAGTGTACGCTTGCATTCGACCGAAAATGCCGTGTTTATGAACGCAACGGACTTCTTGCTAAGGCAAGCACTTTTTGTAAAGGTAAGAAACTGCACATTACCGGAGTACATAAATGGCTATAACTGGAGAAAAAAGTCAAACTGGATTCGTATTTAGATGAACTCTTTTTCAAATTCTTTTTATATCTACGCGTATGTATATCGTTTTTGCATACCAGTGCATATACGAACATTTGAAGCAAGTTCCACGTGTTACAAAAAACCTTGCACAAATTGTTATACATTGTACACAAAGGGAGGTACATGACATTGAACGTCCGTCAGTGATCATAGCCCTGGAATCTAGGTCAATGCAAACTCGATTTGTAAATATTGGAATTATATCTCTGAGAGCTTTGTGTACAAAAAGCAAGCTAAATCGAAAACATACAACCTAACCTAGCCCGACCATTTTCAACTCGGTGACATATTTCCATGTCACCAATATTTTCGAAAACACAATTGCGCGTAGAAAAAGCATAAACTGAAAAATTTTGAAACGAATATTTAATTAAAAAAATCGTTTTACAGTAAATTTTAGTTGCAACAAATTCTGAGTATATTCAGAAAATGACTAGGGTGACCATAGCAAGCCTAGTGATAATTTTTGGTTCTCTACGGCGAAATAAATATCAGGAACATTAATTTTTGCTGCTATGAATTTATATGTACTTTCATCTACATTGATAATATTTTTGTTATAGGCAGCAGTCTATTATATCTGAGGACGTGAGGCGAATAGGAATAGGCTGGTTCTGCCTTGTTACGTCACCTGTTCCTGACAGACTGCGAGATTTGTGCGTTCCATTCAACAACGAATAAGCAGCCTAAACGAAAATGTATGTATTGGAAAAGGTAAAAGTAGACAAAGACTTCCGCCAAAATCAAATTTGTAAATTTCTTTCTCTACTTTGCATCCTAAACTATCTTTCACAATATAAATGTACATAGCTAAATGAAAATTCCATGGTCCATCTCAATTTCCAAAATCTAATATTAAAATATAAATTTTTTCAGCTAGCATATTCCCAATTATATTGAGAAACATAACAAGAACTATTTACTGAACAAATCGCATCAAGGAGAATATAATATTATGGAATAACTGACAGTGAGCATGGATATCTGTTTGTGTATGGCTATGTGCGAAAGAAATCAAGAGCACCGGTAATCGGAAGAACTATGGATGAGTGGACTCTAGTGAAAGAAAGATGCCGAGTGTGCGATATAACAAAGGAACACTGGTGAGCTGACCGTGCATGGGGGAAACGAATGGCGTGAACGTAGCAAACGGTTTGTGAATGTTTCCGTATGTTAAATATATATTTAACGGTATGACAAGAGCGATTAATATATTAACTTTTACTTTCAGACTGACTTTCGATTTTTTAAACGACACGATATACACTTCGCATTTATTCCTACAAACGATGCAACAATTTTAATAATATATATTATAAAGATATTGGCCATCAGCGAAAGGACTGAAGTACGGTGCTTGGCGTTCTACATTGTATATACTGCAACATATTGCGTTCATCGCAAGAGTGTATAACCTCAAAGGACAAGTGGTCGATCGATAAGTTAAGACCAAGATCAAAGGTTAGTTGTGGTCGGTGCATTAATTAGAATTAAGGAAGTTCTTAGTTTAATACTGCTCAGACAGCCGTATCCTCGTCGGATATTACAGAAACTGGCTATTAAACCGTATCTATAGGTCTTCAATTTCATCTATGTATAAAAGACTAATTACCGATTTTTCTTCGATTCAGCGTTAGAGTGTTGGCATCGAAGGAAGCGTGCAATTAAAACTCGTAATGATAAATTACATGGACTACAAGAAAGCAGGTGGAAGCGTGCTTCAAGAAACTTGGACCACAAGCTGATATAATGTGGCAACGTTAGCTGAACTTCGACCAAGTCGACGAGTAATCTTGTAATCAAAAGTCCAGGCGTACGAAGAGAATTTAATCAAACTCAGACACACCTCAGTCCAGTCTCGTTTCGAACTAAATGGAAGCTACGTTCCGGCACTTCGAGGTGTCTTCTTACTGACGTTGCATTACGCCTGTTGTTGATTCAAGTTGATGGAGACTACATTAAGGTATTTCAGCGTATTTCATGGAATGATATTACATAAATTTCTTTGAAGATTTTAGATAGATAGTGATATAAGTATTATTACAGATAATTCAGGGTAAGCATAAATTATATTCTTTTAATAATACCGAAGTTGATACATTATTTATTAGTTTTTTATGAATTTAATGCCCATGTTAAAATATTTATAAGATTCAATGCAATCCATAATTCATGTTTAGCACATCATGCTTATTTTGAAGCGTTCTTAAATTGAGATTTGAAATTACTTTCTTAACAATTGGTAATTCTATTCGTTTCCCTTATTTATATTTTGTTAACTTTAATGAACACGCCATGCTTCTATTTCGTTCTATAACAAATTATTACTTCGTTATATTTTTAATTAAAATTCTTAATTGATGTACTTTTTTCTTCATGATTTACGTTACATCGTGTGCGTGAAATTGTCTGCAAGACAAAAGAATACAAGGAACTGTGAAAACGGTGTCCACAAAAATGTTGTACACGCCAGTGTTTCCCGATAGAGCTGTTCTTTCTTAATTGCACTCTGCATTTAATTTTCTTTTCACTAATTTCGTTTAATGAAATTAAAGTGTGTCAGGCTAAATGGAAAATTTAATGCGCTTGAATTTAATGAGTTGAAGTAAATTCCAGAATAAAACCAAGTATTAGGTCAGTGCATATGAAGCATTTCATAAAATAATTGTGAACCATTCTCACACCTGCATCATCTTCAAACTTAAGAAATTTACTCCCTGTTCAAATTTGTAAAAAAAAATTACCTCAGATATTTGGATTATTTGCAATAATAATCTTCTTTTAATACTTAAATCAAAAGAAGACTTTGCACAATTCATCAGACCTGCTACCATGTTTCACTGTCAGTAACAGCATTTGCTCAGCATTCAGTTTTACATGGCAAATTTCTTCCTGATACAGAACCGTTAATCAACCAACTAAATTCCCCAGACATACCTCACACAGTGTCTCATCACAACAGTTCTAAACAACTCAGAAGTGGAATCCTCATTGACAAACGGATAAAAGGAAGAACACAGAAGGAAAAAATAAAGAAGGAAATTGATAACCGAGTCGCGTGACTGGTAGAGCCAGGTAAAAGCGGGAGCGTTTGTTCACGGATAGAGGATACTCCCGATTATCGTGTCCTGGGTAATATTTCTCTGGGCCGAGGGAAAAGTTTTGTCGTCGCATCCGTTCCCGATTCGTCCCGGGGAACGGCGAGCCCGAGCGGACAGTGCCAGCGTGTAATTTAAACTACGATTTCCTGCAGCTTCGAGGGAAGATGAGGTTGAACGCGGTGCTTTGATTAATATACCCGGGATTGTGAAAAAAAATCGCCCTCCCGATTTTTCTTAACCCCTTCTACCCTATTTGCCAAGCGTAATAAGAGAACACGCGCGAGTGTCCGGGCTGAAAAATGAAGTTTGATGACTTGGGACTGGCACGGGGCGCTGTGTGTAGCCTGGCAAGTTGGCAGTCGTGGGGAGCGCGGCTCTGATTGGCCATGGCGTAATAGGCCAGCCTGCCCTGACATAATCATATAGGTAGGTCACACAAATTTTCATTAGGGACTGCGAGTGTCACGTTTACAAATAGAATTATATATAATAGCATTGCATGATGCAGAAGCCGGATGAAATAACTCATTTACCCTGAAATTTTCCATTTCTGACGAGCATGATTGAAAAATTTAGGAAAACGATATCGTGCAAATACTATGATAGACGTAGTAAGAAGAAAATTCCAAGATTATACCGGTGAAATTAGGAAATAATTCGTATTTATTGGAGATATGGACCGTGGTGGCGCTAGTAAGTTAAGTGGAAACTCGTGAACCGAAATTTCCTATTTTTGACAAGCACGGTTGAAAAATATGTGAGGACGATATCGTGCAAAGAGTATGACACACGTTCTAAGAAGAAAATTCCAAGATTATATCGGTGAAATTAGAAAATAATTTGTATTTATTGGAGATATGGTCCGCGGTGGCGATTTGGATGGCAGATCAGATTTTATTTCATGAAAAGGTAAAACACGAGTTGTAACTTATTTTACCATAGACTGATCTTTCAACCTCTGTCTATATGCCCAAGGCACAAAGCAAGAGCTATCGTAGCTTCGGTATTATGACCAACGATCGAGGCAGGCGAACAAAAGCGAGATAAGATATCTATGCTTACCTTGCGTCTACGTACTAAAAGTCCAATCGTTCCTGACAACGTACAGAAAAAGTATCACGCAAAGTGGTTTACAACTCGATACTCCGGAGAAACATGCTTCCAATGCAAAATCGTTGATTCAAGAAACAAAATTATCAAAATTTTCGCTTCTTAAAATTTTACACATTTGTAAAAGTAATCTAAATACACGTATGATTTCCTTCGAGCTGTTAAAAGCTTCAAATAAATTTAAAAGAAGAAATTTAATTTACGATATTCTAAAGTAAAACAAATGGCTACGGAGGATTCAATTTTTCCCTATGTCGTCAAAAATAATTTTATTTCGTCATGGTATAAACGAATGAAACGCAAAATAAGTAATGAAATCATTTTCGAGAGCCATTCTAATAATTACCGACAGAATTATCCAAAATACAAACGTGAAAGTCCAAAATACAAAGTGACTTTGAAGAATATCTCAGAGATCTAAGAAAAAGGAAGAAGAGAGGAATCCGGAAAAAAATGAAAGAAAGTGGAAGCATGAACGGGAAAGAAAGGGAGGATTTTTTCCCTGGATCCGCGAGCTCTTTCCGTTTGTCGGATGATAAAAATCGGACGGCTGTCGGGGGTACGCGGAAAATAGCGTTTTCCGGGTTCCCTGTGGCCGTTGGCGAAATGTAAACCGCCGAAGAATAGTAATGAGGTTTAAAGGTCTTCGGCGGAAGAGGCCAGCAGGAACGGTGGAACGTTTCCTGGATTTCCAATCTCTTTGCCAAACGCGAAACGACGTCTCTGAGAATCCTGCCAACTGCTCGTAAACTGAGAAATAATGTTCGTTGGTCAGTAAAAGAACCTGCGGACGAATGCTGAGAGTAACGACAGTTTATATAGCCCAAGCGTTTGCCGAATGATCTATATTCTTCCTCAGAGCGAAAAATCTAGACCTAGGATTGGCCTCCTGGCGATGGTGACTTGGATGAGACCTTACTAGGTGACATCGCGCGAAGAGAATTAAATGTTTCTGGTTATGGAGAGTATGGCGGTCCCATAGTTGACGCACTCGCCGTCAGAGGGATTCAAGGTGATCCGAGGTTCCCGATTTTCCTACAATATCCCACATGGCATGGGTCTGTTTGAGATCTGTGCTTCGATGAGATCACTCCACATCTTACAATCATGCTCAAAATCTTGGGTACGTAATCTGTTACTGAACCTGCAATTTAAAGTCAGGAGATTGAGAATTGGGGATTAGGGTTACAGCTCTAGAGTCCATGAATTTGGTGTCTTTGAGTATGAGGTTTGATAATTGGTATCTGGAATATAGAATTTGAGGTATGAGTTTTAGAGTGTGCAGTTTGGGATTTGAGGCCTGAGATTTGAGGTTTGAGGTTTGGGGTCAGAGGTCTAGGAATGAGAAATATGAGATCTAGGATCTAAGCATTGGGATCTGACATCTAGGGTTTAGTATTTGAACTATGAAATTTGCGTTTTGAAATTCGGTATTCACTATTTATAAAAAGCATAAATTTCATGTTTCATTACCCCTTGCAAAAATAGGATCTAAGCATTGGGATCTGACATCTAGGGTTTAGTATTTGAACTATGAAATTTGCGTTTTGTAATTCGGTATTCACTATTTATAAAAAGCATAAATTTCATGTTTCATCACCCCTTGCAATAAATATTCATATTTATTCAAGGGTATCCAAAGCACGATAAAGTGACCTTGAATGCCGAAAATGTAGTCAAAATTCAATTCGAATACTCTTCTCGAATTTCTTAGCGTTATGTCCATTTTTTTCCCAAAAGGACACGTAATTCGCTATTTATTGCAATTTGTATAAACACTGCGATCTGTTCGAGATTATTGGAGTTATGGTGTCGATAGGACCTTGAACACCGCACGTACGATGGTGTTCTCAAAGCGATACCCACGGTCAGCGGGACACTGTAGAAAAAGTTAACGATGGATTTCCATGCATCTCGCGTTATTTATAGAGTAATGATAGTACAAGCCTCCAATTATTGGATTCGTCGTGTCTTCCAAAGTGGCAGGTTGTTGGTAAACATCTTCCTCTGGCTACAGCAAAAACGTCTAATGGCGTCGAATCTGGTGAACATGCTGGTCACGATGTACGGCCATTACATGCAATCGGAGGAATATCCGATGAACATAACCTAACACTTTGGCTCCTAACAGGAGTCTCACAAATGGAGCATGTATCGTGTTTATTCTAAATTTAATTCAATGTATCGTCGTCGAAGAACACTATTTTAAACATATATTAAAATAAACAACAAATTCACATAACGTCTTCAAATTAGGTTACCTTTATGGCATTCAAGGTCACTTCAATCTCATAACTACATATCGGATATACTGAATATGCATGTGGTAACAAGGTAATACGTGTGTTATGTACAACGTATGACCTTGAAAAAATTTAGGCGAAGTGCATTTACGCTTCGAAAATTTTTCATTTTGGTCTTGGTCAATTTCGAGATGAAAATTGTAAATATTTTATACTTCTAATTCTTCTAATTAACACATCTTTTATTATTTTTTAATTTTTATCGTTCGCAATGAAGAGGTTAGAAGGGGAAAAAAATGGTGGAAGGAAAGTGGAAACTTCATTTGTATGAATGAGAAAAAATTCGCGGAAAATTAAGTTTGCGAATCCAAAGCGGATCGTTTCACGGTACGGAAATGAGGTACTAAAAATTTGAAATATTAGCGTTCGTATGGACTCTCGTTTATCGAAATGTTCGATAATTGCGTGTAAATATTGCGTCGAGCGCCTCGTTAACTACTTTCATCGACGCGCATGCGCAATCATTTCGTTCGATTGGAGAACGAGTGGCGACGCTAGCGCCACCGCTGCAGTCAACTCGTCAACGCTTACGTTTCC